TTGCAAATGCACCCCCCCAAAAAAACCTGGACGATTCCCCTCCCTCTCGCCATCCCAGTTCTGAGGCACGAATCCGGGTTTCAGCAGAACTAGCCGTGCTCATCTGTGCAAGCGGATCAGGCAAAATCCAAAGAAATAATTAAAAAAGAGACCAAAACATTGTGGCACCTTAAAGATTGATGACTATATGTTAAGGTGAGCTTTGGTGGACAAGTCCACTTCATCAGACATATGGGGAGGGGGATGAAATGCTAGATGAAATACCAATTTCGGTGTTCGCTGGGGGAGATTGCACAGAAGACAAGAAGACACGCATGAGTCTCTCTCTCTCCCCCCCCCCTCCAACCTTAGCATTAAAAGGGAGACAAAACCTGATTTTACTCTCCAAGTTGGGCGTAACTATTCACAGTTGAGAACTTGGTGGATTTTCTTTCCTTCCACTGTCCTTGAGAGGGGCGGGGAGAAAGCACTGCTTGAAAAGTTACACTTTCCCAGAATTCAGTCACAAAAGGAACTTTTCAAGATACGGGGAGGAAAAGCCATAATGAGGACCAGAAGGTCTGACTGCCATCTGCAAATGTTTCCGAGTACATTTTGCTCAATCAGAAATGTGTGGGGTCACCTAGCCCAATTTTTGTAAAACTTTCCTTATCCAGAAGGATCATCTGCTTTCCTCCTTTCCATAACCTGGGAACTGCCACCGAGAAGGCCCTGTCTTGTGGCCCCACCAGCCATGCCCGCGCTAGCAATGGGAGTGAGGGGAGGGGCCAAATAAATACTGAAAATGCGGTTTAGCTCCAGCGTACAGTTGTAACCAGGAACCAAAAGCAAAACTAGCATAGATGATATTTCCTTGTAACCAAGAGTGGACACCTTCATTTCTTAAACTGCAGAACGTCTTAAAATGGCTTCTGTTTTCAATTATCGGAACGTATCTTCCCCTTTAATCATCTCATTAGTTAACTGTCTTTGTTCTAAACTCCCTCACAAGAGCATTGCAATTTCCTTGGTTCCTAAGTTGTATTTTTTTTTATTTTAGGAACGTGACAGAAATCTGAAGGGAGAATCCGCTGATTTTTCTTTCTGCTCTACCTCATCTTTGCCCGTTAGACATGGGCACAAACCAGTTCATCCCAGTTTGTCCCAGTTCATCCAGACAGTAGCACAGATGCTGCTGCTCCCCCTCTGGTTCAATCAGCCCCTCACCCTTTAGCCCGGCTTGCTAGTTTCCTGCCCCTCCTCAACTGATCTTCCAGTCCCGGCAAGACCTCAGGCTTCTCTGCCCCTCCCCTCCTGGCTCATCTGCCAATCAGAGAAAGGGGCGGGGCAGAAAAAGTCTGGGCTCTTGCCCGCGACTGGGAGATCAGCTGAGGAGGTGGGGAAAGCAAGCCAGCGGGGCCTGGTGCAGGGCTGACTGCCTGAGGAGGCAGCAGAAGGGAGCAGCACCTATGGTGACACCTTTGCGAACCAGCACGAACTGGGACGAACCGGTTCACGCCCATCCTTAGGGTAATCCAAAGCAATGGAGGAAGTAGACCCCCCTCCTGATCCTGAGATTGGGAAGACCGTCAGGCAAATAGGCGCTTCACCTAGCCAGCATTTAGTGAGAGCCTGCTGGTGGTGTGTGCACCCTTCACTGGGTTGTGCGTGCCGGGTGCCCTTGGGCTTGGCAGTGAAAACCCAACGCTAGTGATCTTGCGATTTTCCCGTCTAGTTTTGTACCTTGGCGAACGCTTCTGGCCATGTGGCTTCGAAATGTCCCTCCACCACCTTCCGCGGATTTCTGACATAGAAGTGCAGGAGGACTGGAAGTATTTTTGGCAGGGGGGGATGACAACAGGGGTGCATGGGGAGAAGGGACGGCTGCCTGGGCCGGTGATCAAATGGGGACAGGGGTGACGCCGGCTTGAAGCGCCCGACAGCCGCAACGCTTTCTCTGATGCATAATTTAAGCTCCCCTACGGGCAGGGCTTTTAAGCTGCCTTTAGCCGGAGGATATAAAAGCATAGCAGCTGCTCCTTTGGGTTAGGATTGGCGGAGGTGGAGGGGGGGAGAGAGAGAAAGAGATGGGGGGTTTTGTGGTTGTTAGGCGAGGCTTCCAAGCAAACAGAAGCAAGGGAGGGAGCATAAGATGGGGAAGGTCTACCTGCGTGATCCCCCCTCCTCTTTTGCTGAGAATATCTGAGTGATGACAGACCCTCGCAAGGCAACATGGGGGGGTTGCGTGTGATACCGGGGGGGGGGACTTGTACTCCAAATCTCTTTTTTTAAGTTCAAGGTAATAGTGAGTTTTCAGGGTTTTTTGGGGGGTGGGCGCTACGGGGGGGGGGAGACTTGTACTCCAAACCTCTTTTTTTAAGTTCAATGTAATAGTGAGTTTTCAGGGGTTTATTTTTTTGGGGGGGCGATCCATTTCCCATTAGCCAGTACCAAGGCTGTATGGACCATGACGTCGAAATCATTCATAGTGGACCACTTTTTGTTTTAGTTAAGATATTTGAATCCTCTCCTTCTTCTAAAGAGCAGCCTATGCCGTAGTTCTCCCTGACGGCAACCCCAAGAGGAAATCTGTGCCTCGAGGCTGTCGGCTGAGCATCAGATCTGAGCTCGGAACGCCCGGCTCCAAAGCCGACACTTTCAAAAATTCAAAGCTCCTCTCCGCTTTCCTTTATATGCCCTGTACAACCACCTGGCGAGGTAGGCTGAAGGTCAGGGCTGTCTAAGAGATTTAATTGCCTGAGGCAAAGGACAAGAGGATGTCCCTTTCTGTTTCACTTACGGAAGCTGGCTGGATTAGAACTCGGGACGGGCAATGGGACACCTTGTCGCACCACGTGTGAAACCGGGGGTAGCCAGGATGGATGTCATGGGAGATGCCATCTTTTCCTCTGGGATAAAGTGACGGCCAGAGGCTCAGGAGCTGCCACTGCTGACCAGTAGCATCTGCCAGCTGCCTCACACTGCCAAATGGTAGGACTGGCCTTACTGGGTCTTTTGAGCTCTGAGCCACATGAATTTGCAAAGACGATGTTTTTGGACTACGGCTTCCTGGATCCACAAGCTGATTGGGGGATTCTGGGACATGTCATTTTATAGAAGTAAATTTAACAAGCTCTGCCCTTACTCCACAAGTATTTGAATTGGCTCATGAACCCTCTCCCAGGCTTTCCCAGTGCCTCGGAACCTCCACCTTCAGAAGCAGTCTATCTCAGAGACTGCCTCTAATATTTGTCTGTTAGTGGGACAAAGAAGGGATGAGCAAGCACAGCGTTCAAGTTATGCTTTCATGCTTTCAGGCAACCAATTGGCTGCTATTAGAAATGAAATGCAGTGGTGCCTCGCATTACGAGCGCTCCATTTTACAACGAAATCGCAAAAGCGATTGCAAAACAATGTTTCCTATGGGGGAATTTTGCTTTGCGATGATCGGTTCCCTGCTTCGGGAACTGGTTCTCGGAAAGCGATGATTTTCGGCCAGCTGATCGGCGGTTGCAAAATGGCCGCCGGTACGCTAATCGGCAGTTTCAAAATGGCCACCGGTAGAAAACATGGCTCCCTGCTCTTTTCTGGGACGGATTCCTCGCTGCACAGGCAGCGAAAATGGCTGCGCTATGGAGGATCTTCACTGGATGGTGAATTTCAAGCCCCTAGGAACACATTAATTAGGTTTTAATGCGTTTCTATAGGTTTTTTAATTTTGCATTACAACGTTTTCGTTCTACAGCGATTTCGCTGGAACGAATTAATGTGTAATGCGAGGCACCACTGTATTGGACTAGACGTACCCAACACAAAATGCTTTTATATATACATATTTCTTCCTCATTCTCAGGCATGGCAGCCACTGAATCGTCGTAATGCGAGGCACCACTGTATTGGGCTAGACGTACCCAACATACAATGCTTTTATATATACATAATTCTTCCTCATTCACAGGCGCAGCACCCACTGAACTGGGATCATTCAGCCAGATGCGTGAGATGAAGTGAATTTCGTTTGAAAGCACTGTTTTCTTTATAGGCTTGACTTTTAAACACTCCCAATATTTATAGTACATACAGTTTCTTCCACTTGGCTCTAGAGGGCTGTATCTGTTCTAAGCATGATGCTATGTCTCCCTCTTGTGGCCCCATAAGGTATGACTCCGAAGCCGACTGCTGTGTTTGGACAAGAGTTACTTGCCATTTTTCTCTTCTTTTGTGAAAAAGGAACAGACAACCACCATATGATTTTTTTGCTTTGGGAGAAGAATGAAAAGACAATTTAAAAAAAATGGATATATATATATATATATATTTGCTTTGGGAGACGAATGAAAAGACAATTTAAAAAAAGTTGCATTAGTAAAGAATTCCACCTTTTTTGCATGCAAAATGTGCGTTTCGCTCAAAACGCGAATTTTGTACAAAAACGTCCTCCGCAGATTTTTTGCAAAAAGAGTACTGCCGTGTGAAAAATGTGTGAATCCTCTGGTTGCCTCTCCCATCAAAGGAATTTGTCGCAATTTCTGAGTCTTCTTTGTGAGAATGAAATAAAGCATGGCTATTTTCAGGCAAAGCTTTTGACATTATCGCCCTGTCTTGTTCATGGAATTTCAGTGACTTCAGACAGTGTTGTCCTTCCCGTGCAAATTTCTTTCTCTTCCCCACGGCTTCCTCCATCTTTTTCCGTTCTGAGTCTTCTTTGTGAGAATGAAATAAGGCATGGTTATTTTCAGGCTAAGCTTTTGTGACACTGTCGCCCTGCCTTGTTCATGGAATTTCAGTGGGTTGAGACAGTGTTGTCCTTCCCATGCAAATTTCTTTCTCATCCCCACGGCTTCCTCCACCTTTTTCCATGCCACGGAAAACATATGAAAGAGGAAATGAGGAGACTGTTCCCTACTTTATTTTTTTGCCTGAACGTGTGTCCCTCTGAAGGTGCTCTCACTATGAGTTTCATTTCCTGGCCTTTGTCTTTAATTTGGTTTCTGACCTTCTTTCTCTTTTCCCTGATGCAGGAGACTGTCTAGACAACAGCGTGGCCTCCCCCAGCACAGGAGACGATGACGACTTAGACCGCGACAAAAAGCGGAACAAGAAACGAGGGATTTTCCCCAAAGTGGCCACAAACATCATGCGTGCATGGCTATTCCAACATTTGTCGGTAAGAACCCAGGTCTTAGTGGGGAGAGAGGGGCGAAGGACAGGAAACGGGATCTAGTGAAGTCAGTGGGGTTGAGAGAGAGTAAGTTTTCTATGTCCCATCCTCAGCTACCAATGTGGAGGCCTTGAACTGGACCTTGAAGATAGGAGCTGATGGGTGTCGGAGTTCGGCGTCCTGCGTGCATAGGAGGTTGTGGACCCAAAAGGGTGTACTCCAGATGTTCCTTTCTTTATTTCATTTCAAATAGTTTTACCCCGCCTTTCTCCTTGAAAAGAACCCAAGGGGCTTACATCATTAAAAAAACAAATAAAGTTAAAAAGAGTTAAGTCTACAAATACCCCGAAGGATCAAATGGATAACCCATTAAAAGATGGTAAACAAAAGCAATACTAAAAACACATCAAAAGCAGTCAAGGCACAACTATCCATTTAAGAAGTCAGTCCTTAAAGGAAAGCTTGCCTGGGGAGAAAGGTCTTTGCTTGTGGAAGGACAACAGAGACGGGGCCAGCCGGGCCTCCAGTGGCAGGGAGTTCCAGAGTCTCTGGGAGCAGCCACAGAGAAGGCCCCTCTCCCGGGTCCCCATCAAACACAACTGTGAAGATGTTGCTATCGAGATAATTCTTTTTTACTCTTTGCATCGTTTCTTTTTTAGCTTTAGATATTGTCTTCGAATGATGTAAACCGCCTTGGGTCCTTTCAAAGCAGAAAGGCCGAGTAAAACTATTTTAAATAATCGAACTGGATAAATAATGGTTCCTCCCAGCGTTAAGAGGGGGAAAAAAAAACAGGGTGGGAGATGTACGGGGAGCATCTGTGCTCCAAAGGGACAACTAGCGGGCAACCCGGGAGCGTGGCGGATCGCTCAGCAGTTGAAACCTCTCTGGCTGCAGAGCCAGAGGTTCGATTCCCCCACGGGGCCTCCTTGACTGTATGATCCAGAAGGGTCCCTTCCAGTTCTGCAGGTCTAAGATATTTTTTTAAAAGCCCAATATAAACCAGTCTGGAGGTATTTTAGAGTCTATATCCAGAGGGTAGTGTAGCTGGGGCTTGTGTCTTTTCTGGTAACGCTGTTTTCCGCCCCTTTCGGTGGCCCTGGCAGAGTCGGTGCGGGCCCCAGTCTCCTCCTGCAGCCGCTTCGCAAACGGCGGCCAGCAGGTGGAGAGCCTGGCAGGAAAGGGCACCCTTTCCATGCCCGCCACCCAGACGGGGGGGGCTGTCTTCCGTGGCTGCTGCCGCCTGGCTGCCAGGCAATTAGGCACGGCCTCTCCCTGGTTAGTTAAACAAAGGCGAGTTAATGAGCGCTGGCCAATTAGTGGCTAATTGAAGGAGCTATAAAGCTATTAGAGACTGGTGAAGGGTAATCAATTCTAACCAATTACCCTGAACGCATTGGCAAGGAGTCAGGCAGGTTGCAAGAGAGGAAGGGTTTTGGAGGCGAAATCTCTACCGTACAGCCAGGAATCCGAACCAGGTGTGAGGATGGGTTTTCCTCTCCCTCACCTTGGGATATGCAGGCATCGCTCTCTCTGTTTGGTTCATTTGTAGCATTGCTATCCTTGTTTTCTGACGTTCCAAAGGTTGCATGGCTGAAAAAGTCAGGTTTCGAAACCTCAGTTGCACATGTGTTCAGGCAGTGTGCGCGCGCCTTACACTCATGCATGCCTGATGCACACTGACTGGGGTTTATCCTTGCAATCGTCGGAGAAGCACTGATTGGCCCATATCCATGTCGTGAACACAGTTGAGGTTTACATGGCGGGTCTCACCCGTGTACCCCCTCTGCGGTGTGAGTGGATATGTGGGAAGTATGTTGAGATCCATCTCTTTAACCGTTCCTTATCCCAACTGGGTCAACCAGAGAATGAGCATGGTTATGTCTGTCGTAGAATCTGTCTGTGGTCTACTTTATATATATATATATGGGATCAATGCCTGAATTGAAGAATGAATGGCTCACCACTACCACCACATTCATGTACGCTGGACTGAGCTCTATCGTGGAAGAGAAGAAGGGGGAAATAAAAATTAAAATAAGACAAACAGAGAAGAACACAAAACTTCAACTTAATTTGCAAATTAAGATATATCTAAAATATCCCTCATGTCCCATGTTTAATTTGCAAATTATGCCTCTTTCAAATAGGGGTGTGTGTGTGTGTGTGTGTGTGTGTGTGTGTGTGTGTGTGTGTGTGTATGCACATTCTTATTCAGTAGACCTGCATTGCATGCTCAAATTGCAAGCATTCCGCCTTGACAGGGAGCCCTGGTAACTGCAGGTGTCCAAAGGAGGTCTGGGGAAACCAGCATTTCCCATACACCCTCGTGCAGAGCTGAAACAGAGTTAGAACGGATATGAAAAACTCACGGACATTTGTCATGTGGATTCCCCCCGATTTCTGCTTTCAGGAGCATTGGCCTGGCCCTTAGCTGAAGGAGGCCATCCATGGTATGTTAGGATATCCCATAACTTAAAAAAAAACAACAATCAAATTGGGACAGTGATTTCTTAGTATATCGCCCTGTTCCTGTTGGTGAGGCCTGGACTTCGTGTGTCTCTGGAAGTATCCGACTCCGTGGTGTTACCTTTGAAAGAAGCTCTGAACAGATCAGAAGACCGAGGCAGGTGATGGCTTTCTTTCCGAGGTTTCTTGGGGACTCCAGGTTTGGCTCGGTGCCCTCTCCCCATGGCCTGGGAGGCAGAAGAAGACTGAACAGATCAGAAGACCGAGGCAGGTGATGGCTTTCTTTCCGAGGTTTCTTGGGGACTCCAGGTTTGGCTCAGTGCCCTCTCCCCGTGACCTGGGAGGCAGAACAAGACCTTCGCTCATCTGTCACTGGGCTGTCAGAGTGCTCTCCCCCCCCCCCTTGAAGGGCCGGCTGCAACCCTCGGCAAGAGCCTGGCTCATCCATCATCCGGACTGGCAGCTAAAAGGATGGCGTGAAGTTGGGAGATCATGCTTTTTAGGTCCCCGGCCAACAAAGAAGGGAACAGCAAGCTCCATACATCAAACATCTGCTGAGAAGATGAGGGAGAGGGAGAAAACGGTCTTAACGACACACATAGCAAAGGAAACTGACCTTCCCCACCATGCTCGGCTTAAATGGGAACCTCCTGGGGGGGGTTATTCCCAGATCTGGCAAGAAGAGAAGGCCACAGAGGGAAAGAGGTTTTTTTTCTTAAATTGGATTGTTGTGCTCTGTTGCTTTCAAATGTGTTTTTAGTATTGATTTTATTTCCCGTTTTTAGTATACTTGTTGAATTCTTTAAAAAAATATTTGTCTACTTCTTGTTCTTAGCTTCTCAATATTGTCCTGTGAATGATGTAAGCTGCCTTGGCTGCTTTTAAGGGGAAAGGTGGGGTAAAAACAGTATTTTAAATAAATAAGTTAAATATGGAGCCGGAGGAGAAAAAAATTCTACAATGACTCCAGAAACTCATACAAATCTGGGCCCGTCTTCACTCTTATTCTCTCTTCTCTTTCTTCGGACAGCCCCCTTATCCCTCAGAAGAACAGAAGAAACAATTAGCTCAGGATACGGGGCTGACGATCTTACAAGTGAATAATTGGTAAGGTTCTCCGTGAGGGGGAAGAGCGGCGTTCGCCTGATTTTCACTGAATTTAACCAGTCTTGCAACTTTCAAATTCGGCACACCCATTGTGTGACTTTTTACAGAGTCACACACAATCAACTTTATTATTGTTGTTGTTGTTGTTGTTGTTGTCGTCGTCATCATCATTATCATTATCATCATTATCATTATCATTATCATCATCTTCCTGATTATACTTGGCAATGTGTTGTGAAATCACATTAGATGCAGCTTGTCAGAAAGCTGGGATAGAATATATCTAGGTAAAGTCAATTTTAAAAAAATAAGAACAATGGAGATGGTCATTGTTCCAATGGGCCCGCGGTTGACTTGGTAGAAGAGCTTCAATAGAACTTTGACATGTTGCTTTTCACGACTGTAACTGGTAGAATTTTACAGCCATCATAACCAAGGAATTTAGGAGGTGCAGTTCGAGAAAAGCTCTATTGTAGCTGAGTCAACCAATGTTCCATGTAAACTAATACTGTCTTCACTGCTGTTTTTTTAAATTGACTTTGTTTTTGTTATGTACCATCAAGTGTTCTCTGACTTATGGGATCCCTATGATTGAGTGATGTCCAAAATGTCCCATCTTCAGCAGCTCTGTTCAGTTCTTGCAAACACAAGCCTGTGGCTAACTTTAGGGACTCAATACTTGGTCTTCCTTTACGGACTCAATACTTGGTCTTCCTTTAGGGAGTCAATACTTGTTCTTCTTTTAGGGAGTCATACTTGGTCTTCCAAATTTTACTGGGATCTATTTTATCCCAGTTGCCTAACAAGCTATATCTAAAGTGACTTCACTCTCTGTCTTTCCTAGCTGTGAGTTTCAGGTATATTCAATGGGAGTTATGCATACTGAGTGTGATTAGACTCCACTGGAAGGAAATAAATGATGCTTCTTGAGAGCCGTTACAATCCCAAACCTTACTCTGTCTTCCAAGAACACGTGGGATTTCTCATTACTTCCCTTGTCTTCTCCAGGTTTATTAATGCCCGGCGGCGCATCGTTCAGCCTATGATAGACCAATCAAATCGCACAGGTAGGATTCTGTCTTGAGGTTCTGCCTTCAGGAAGAGGAAGTCGAAGTATTTCTGCAGTAGCGATGGAGGGAGGTTGACAGCTGGGTTAGAAGTCCTCCAGTCTACAAGGACTGCTTTTCTTCCACTGCACATAGAGGAGATTCTGCCAGATCTTGAGAGCACCACAGCAGAAGGATTTTGGGCTAAAACGTTCCTCTCTTTCGGACAGGTCAGGGTGCACCGTATAGCCCCGATGGGCAGCCGATGGGGGGCTATGTCATGGATGGGCAGCAGCACATGGCGATCCGTCCCCCAGGTAAACAACAGAGTTGAGGGAGGAAGGCAGGGAGCAGGGTTCCAGATGGACAGACTTTCCATGAGGGTCCCATGTGTGTCATTGAAAGGACTCCTCCAAGAAGCCCCCTTGTTATGAGCTGTATGCCAGTTTCAGACAGTCATTGTTGTCCGTTGTGCCAAACCCCCTTGTTATGAGCTGTATGCCAGTTTCCAGACGGATAGTCATTGTTGTCCGTTGTGCCAATGCCAACTGTAAGCAGACCTTGAATAAGTTACTTTTTGGGGACAACTTCCTCCAGCCAGCACGGACAGGGCCACGGCGTGGGAGGGGTCACCTAAAACAGCGATGCCCAACCTTGGGTCCCCAGATATTCTTGGACTACAACTTCCAGAAATCCCACTGTAGGAAAGTGGTGAAGACCTCTGGGAATTGTAGCCCAAGAACATCTGAGGACCCATGGATCTAAAAAGATTCACTTCCCCCTTTGCTAGAGGATGGTGGGCGGTCTTCTCCAGGGAAGAAACATCTCCAGGTCCTTGTATGTACCTCTGTGTGCGTGCAGGCAAACATTCACCTCTCTTTTCTTCTCCGCTTCTAGGACCGATGGGCATGGCGATGGGCATGGAAGGGCAATGGCACTACATGTAAAGCCCTGCGCTCACGGCCGATGCCAAAGGGGAAGTGAGTCCTGGGATCTGGCTGGGTGAAGTGGGGTGGGGGGGTCCCTCGAAGTTGCTCTCCCTCGGACGTGGGTTTGGACACCAGCGTTTGCACCCGTTCCCGCCATTTTCAGGCAGCGGTCATGGCCTCTGGCCCCTGACAAATGATCCCAGCCCTGGGCCTTCTCTGGGTCCACTTTACTGGGCAGTTAACCTTCCCTACAGAGCCTCGAACCCCTTCTTGGTCAAGGGGGGTTGTAGGACATTGGAAGTGGTGACCGGTCCCTTCCCAGTGTCGCCAGCTACTAGGACCACAGCCGAAGCAGAAGTGGGAAGTGACTTGTCTACAAGTCCCTGTATTTGGAGGATGGACGGCTAAAGCAGTAACTGGGCCAGACTTTGTTCCGGAGAGCGACTGGGGAGGGGGGACGGGACACTTTGCCATCGGCTCCCGAATTCTTGGTCAAACTGATTCATCTGTGGCCTTGCGCTGTCTGCTGGGTCTTCCCCGCCACTCTTTCCGACAGTCCCAAAATGTGGGCTCACGGTCACCAAATCCTCGGATTTATCATTTGTCAAGAAACATGGATTTCTTGGCAAGAGAAGTCTTTTTATTCAAAGTTTCTTCTTTCGGCTGTTTCCAGGGTTCCAGATGAGGCGAGGCGTGCTGGGCAGTCACCCCTTCCTGCCGGGATTACGGGGCGTGAGACTCATGCCGCTTCTGGCATGCCCTTCCTCCCGACTTCCCCTGTGCTCCTCAAGAACATGCCACAGACTGTCCTCCCTCCAACCCCACCGCCACCCCCTAGGGCCACCGTCTGCACGGCCACCCTGGCCCAAGAGGCAAGCGACCTTGACCCGACTTGAATGGACCGAGGCACAGATGGAAGCACCCCGTCTTACCGTTCCTGCTCCTCCGCTCGCTCCTCGTTTTTCCCTCGCTCTTCGTCTGGCCGAAAGAAGAGCTGCCGAGAAACCACACCGCCCGCATCTCGAGGGTTCGAAATCTCCAGGGGTGCATCGTCTGCTAAAGTCTAGGGACCGGTTGACGGATCATGAAGGGAACACTGGGCTTTGAGTGGAAACAAATGCCCCCCCTTCCCTCCCCATTATTAAAAAGAAGGAAGGAGATGGACTTTTGAAGGCCTTCTTGGAAAAAAAAAAGGAACACAGGGAGGGTAGAGGCTGAGGGTTTCACTTTTTATTCATTGGGGTCCCCTCTGTATTTCCCCCACCTCACACACAGACCGCACCTCAGAGGGCCAAGCCAGCTACGGGCACGGCGTACCCCCTCCACGGACTCCCCTCCCCCAAAAAAAGAAACGAGACCACGCCAATGTTTCAAGCAGGGTTTGTTTTGTTTGGTTTTGTTTTCCTTTCCGACGGTTTCTCGTCGTCCTCTGTTTTGTTTTGTTTTGTTTTGTTTTCCTTTCCGACGGTATCTCGTCCTCCTTCTTTTCCTCCTCCTGGATGTTTTAATTATTAATTAATTATTGTCGTCGATGCTCAGAATGGGAAAGTAAATTAAACTGTACATTTTATTTTCCTTTTTTGGGGGGGCCTTTTTGTTTTGTTTTTTATGTGCTTTGTTTTATTGGGTTTCCTTTTTTTAAAAAAAAAATGAGAATAATTCAAGAAAAAGAAAAACCAAAACGAGCTGATATTGCAATGTGGTGTCTTTTTATTCTTATCTGGTGAAGAACTGCCTTTGGCAGACAAGGGGCTCCCACTCATTTCTCCTCAGTCTTCTAACCGTTCTCATCCAGTTTTTTTATTTTCTTGTGCCATCAAGTTAATTCTGTCTTACAGAAATCCTTTCCAGGGTTTTCTTGGTAGACAATACTCTACTAAGTGGTTTCCCATCCCCTTCCTCTAGGGGGAGCCGTGGGACGGTGTGCAGCTGGCCCAAGGCTACCCAGGCTGGCTCTTCTCTTGAAAGACCCAGTGGGGGAATCGAACTCCCAATCTCTGGTTCTACAGCCAAAGATGTAACTCACTGAGCTATCTAGCCAGCTACAGCCACTACTTAGAGGATAAAGCTGTGAATGCTACGTGCCGTGTCCTGAGCTTGAAAATGTTACAGTCTTGGTCTACAAACCCCACAATCCCGAAACAGACTCTAGTGCCTCGCCGTTTTTCCTCACCCACATTTCGAACCCATCAGATCCAATCTTTCCCAAGAAAAACTGGGAATGATTCTCTGAAAGGTAGCCTTCCAGATGTCCTGGACTTAGAGAGTGACTATACTGTGTTTTTATTCACTGTTTGGTTCACTCACGGTGCGGTAAAGATTGGTCGAATATTAAGCAACCGCAGGAGACAAAGCTAATTCTGGACCAGATTGTTCTTTGTTTTTGGTTTACTGACAGAGGTTGCTTTTGGGGGGGGGGGGGAAGGGGAGGTTTACAAGGGAGAGCCAAAAATCCATGAACTTCATCGTTCCTGTGTGATTGTGAATCTCACTCGAAAGCTGCGATGCGTTTGATCATATGGATCGGTTTTAAACGGAACAGCTCATTTCATTACAGAAAAAAGTCACCCATTTTAACCTAACGCTACCCAGTCCAGTTTCCTTGTCTAGATAAACCCTCAGACTATACCCTCTAATCTCACAGCCTGTGACATTATGCGATTCGTTCGTTCATTCATTCATTTGGTTTATATATTGCCAAACAGAACACTGGATCTCTTTGCAAAACGATAGCTAGACAGACTTATTTCCCCATCCCTACCACACAGTTGGCACCCTGAGAATGTAGACTGAGTTATGGCCGAGCCCCTATTTCCACCCTTGATCTTTAAAAAAAGAAAAGGAAAAGATGTCATAATAAAAATTAGATTGGAAAAAAAAATCTCCAGGATTTGCAACATTGCCGAAATCAAGATGGCCGACGATTGTTCAATGAACCAAAAAATCCAAAAGTACAAGAACATCACTAAACAAGGGCTTAGAAGCAACAGGCCGTGTAGTGACCTGTAACTAGTTACTTTTAGGGTATATGGAAGTTTCCAAAGTAACTTAAAAGTAGTAATTAAGTTACTTTATCGGTGTAAGCAGCGAAACGTTCTGCTTTCAAAAACTGCTTTTAAAGGGAATTTTAAAGCATTCCAAGTCTCACTTTTGGGTTTTTTTGAACTGACCTTCTCTTATTAATCAGGACTGTCCAAGGTTTGGGACACAGCAGCCCTAAATCTCCTTGACCTGTCTGTCCCACGCCCCACACACCCAGAAATGAGGAACAAACAATACAAGACATAAAAGGAATGAGTTTGTTTTCTGAGGCAGGAACGAGTCATGATCACGGGCTACTTTTCAAACACTGTGAGGAGAAATGGGTACAGATTATTTTTGAAAAATAAGCTTGGCAGACTCGGTCATAAAAAATTAATAACATTAAATAAAACAAAATAAAAATAATGTGGCAACAAATAATTTTTATTTATTTATTTAGAATAAAGGAGCTTAAAAGGAGCCAAGAGGTGGCTGACGTCACTGAAAAGACAATATTTAAAACCGAAAACAGTAAGCCGACAAATGTTCTAAAAAGAATTAAATATGTCGTATTTCCACACAGAGAAGTCCAAAAACCTCTTTTGGTTCTGAGAAGCCGGCCGCTTTCAGGGTGAGCACTCTGAACTTCACATTGTCCCGTTTCCATTTTTTCGATCAGGCACATTTTTAAAAGCGTTGGTAGCAATGCAGATTGCCGTTTAATCCCCTGCACGCATCGCTGGTGACTGGTGCACGAGAGGAAAGGTTCATACACCGGCTTTCCTACAATCTGTAACCAGAGTTGGACCAAGGCTGGCCCTCCAGATCTTGAATGGCAAGAGTGGCTCTCTGCAAAAGAAACCTGTTTTTACCTTGCTTTCCAAAAAAAATTGTGGATAAATACCAGAACCTATTCAGGCACAGGAAGTAGAATAGGAAGGAACAGTATATTGACTCAGTCAAATCAAAAAGTGGCAGGAAACAATTTGTTTTAGCCAATGTGCTAAAATCTTCCTCCCACAGTATATTGACTCAGTCAAATCAAAAAGTGGCAGGAAACGATTTATTTTAGCCAATGTGCGTCCCATCTTCCTCCCATAAATGGGATTGAAGGCATCCTATGGTTAAAGCAAATAGAATTCAATATAATAAGGGCATCCCTGGGAAAATCTATCACATTGCTAAAAACAAACCAATAAAAGAAACTTCTGCACCCGTTCCCACCCGAGTAGGGTCTCTTCTAACCAAAGCTTCGAAAAGTTACATTTTGGGAGTACGACACTCAGAAATGCCCCTCTGGCAACAGACCATGTTGGCTACAGAATTCTGGGACTTTTTGGTCAAAACGAAAACAAACCGACCAATCATTCTTTAAAATGCTGGCTCTGACTAGCAGGGGTTTCCCTTTACCCGCTGCTCCCAGATTTTTGGAAATTGCAGATGCCAGTAAATTGGCCCTTGGCATGCAAAACTGGCCTTTTCTCTGCTGAAAACCATGTTTCCTGCCTCAGCTGTACTGTTTCGAACGCAATGGGGACTGGCAGAAATCAATGCTCCTCCAGGAAAAGGAAGGAATATTCAGCCCTGTTCATAGAAACCTAGTGTGTCAGGGAATGGGCTACTGCATGCTAGATACTCATCTGCAGGGAATGTTTTTGTACAGATTCATTCCTGTGATATTCAGTTACAGTGGTGCCTTGCTAGACAGTTTTTTTTGCTAGACATTGACTTTTTGCGATCACTATAGCAATTCGCAAAACAGTGATTCCTATAGGGGAGTTTCGCTGGACAATGTTTGGTCCCTGCTTCGCAAACCAATTTTCGCTAGACAACGATTTTGACAGCTCCCTCCGCGCTTGCAAGACGAGTGTTTTCGGGACCTAAGCTTCGCAAGACAGCTATTTAAACAGCTGATCGGTGGTTCGCAAAGCGGCTTTCCTATGGCCGATCTTCGTTAGACAACGACGATTCTTCCCCATTGGAATGCATTAAACCGGTTTCAATGCATTCCAATAGGGAAATGCTTTTCACTAGACGATGATTTCGCTAAACAGCAATTTCAGTGGAACGGATTATCGTCTAGAGAGGCACCACTGTACTCTGAAGCAGCACAATGCAGACTTGGATTTATCACTTCCTTTGAAAGTAATTCAAAGTACAATTTCTCTACTTAGCATCTTCCATGCACCCTTCCCAGTCAGTTGCATGGATACCATCTTCTCTTTTGGTCCTAGCACAAAAATATTTGCAAAAAACCACACCAATTTACGGCGCATCTTTTTGCAGCCGAAATGATTTGCCTGGCTTCCATTCCAGGCAGCTGGAAAGGTGGTAACTAAATTCTTTGCTTGCCCAGCCTTGGTGAGATTTAGTATTTGCTGGAACCAAACCACAGGGAATTGATCAAGGAGGAGGCCGGCAGCCACGATACCTCACGGCATGTCAAACTCTTGATTAAGAGAAGAGGATAATGGCCCTCATTGGGCCCACAGCCAGCGAACCTGATGAACGGCTTGATGGCCCAAGGAAAGATTAGAGTAAGCGGGAAGAGTTTGGAGCGCTCCGAGTGAGCAGATCTGATAACCATCCAGACAACAGGCTTTGTCCTGGGGTACGGTACGAATCCTGCCTCAGCCCATCTTTGGGTGCTCAGCTGTAGAACAGCCCTGGCTGTATAATGGGTTTTCTGCTCTGCTCAAGGGGGCGGGTGGGGGAAAAGCCTGTGTAGGAATTCCATGTGCAAGATTTTTCCCCTACAAGAAAAGGGTCAAGACTAAAGTGTTTTCACTGTTTCAGGCTAGTGTTATAAAATGGCATGTGTGGCGGAGAAGGGTTCCTTCCTTCCTTATTTGTTTAAAAATATCTTTAACCCACCTTTCTCCTTAAGAAGGACCCAAGATGGCTTACATCGTTAAAAGACAACATAGAAAAAAAAAACCTGTGAGTATATAAATACTGGAAAGGATCAGCAAATGCTACATTAAAAGACAGTAAATAAAAGCAACACCAAAAACAGATTCAAAGCAGTGAGGTCCATTTAAACAAAACCCTACTCAGGCAGGCTGAGGGAAAGCCTGCCTGAAGATAAAAGTCTTTGCCTGCTGGTGGAAGGAGAGCCAAGAGGGGGCCAGGCTGGCCTCCAGTGGGAAGGAGTTCCAGAGTCTCTGGGAGCAGCCACAGAGAAGGCCCCTCTCCCGCGTCCCCACCAAATGCACCTGTGAGGGAGGCGGGACCGAGAGAAAGTCCTCTCCTGATGATCTTAACATCTGAGCTGGTTCATAAAAGGACAGGTGGTCCTTGAGATCGCTTGGACCCGAGCCATTCAGGGCTTTCTAGGTCAAAACCAGCACTTTGAATTGTTTCCGGAGACGGACGGACAGCCAGTGGAGTTGATATAAGGGGAGAGCGG